ACATGTTGTGATACAAAAAATAGTAATACAATTCATAATATTAGAATTTTAATATCAAAATTATTTTTATTGGTGTGTTTGATTAATATGTTCTAGAATGTTCTTTGTCCAATTATTTTTTTCCCATGTGGTGGAGCTTTCCTTGGAGACTAGTTTCAAGAATTTCCCTTTCAACATCAAAAAAGAAAAAAAAAAATAGTATCTCCCACTAGTGAGTAGTTACAATTGATCAATTCCGATTATGATGAAGTGATAAGTATGTTTTTCTTAATTAAAAGTTTTGAGTTTAAATTTTTACTAAGCCATCTTCATTAGAGAGCTCTTTATTCATTTTAAATTTTTCTTTTTTTCAAAAATATCCTTACTGAAGTGCAGGCAAATCGACACTTCAAGCTCTCTCGTATAATAAGAGAAATTATGTGCATATTGTTATAAGATAGGAATTATGAACATGTTGTGATACAAAAAATAGTAATACAATTCATAATATTAGAATTTTAATATCAAAATTATTTTTATTGGTGTGTTTGATTAATATGTTCTAGAATGTTCTTTGTCCAATTATTTTTTTCCCATGTGGTGGAGCTTTCCTTGGAGACTAAGTTTCAAGAATTTCCCTTTCAACATCAAAAAAAGAAGAAAAAAATAGTATTTCCCACTAGTGAGCAGTACAATTGATCAATTCATATTACGCTGGAGTGATAAATATATTTTTTTTAATTAAAAGTTTCGAGTTTAAATTTTTACTAAGTCATCTTCATTAGGGAGCTATTTATCTATTTTAAATTTTTCGATATGAATTTAAATTTAATCGAACTTTAATATAGATATTGAACAACACCAACCAGAAAAACCAAACAAAAAATAATAATGACAATTGATTCCTTGGAGACAAAGGTTTTAGCAGTTCTCTCCACATCACTAGAAAATAGTACTTACTATATTTTACTAGTATCGAATTTCAAAAAATTCTTAATAGGTGGGGACAAGTTATATTATTCTAGTTATGAATTTGATAAATTATGTAATTTAAATTTAAATTTTATATTTGTATTTAAAAGAATAATTCATCTCTAATGGTAAGGGGATAATTCCTTTTTTTTTTTAAGTTTATACCACATGAATATAAATTAATTAAACTAGTAAATATCAGATATGCGATGATTATGATTTTAAAAAAAATTGTACGTTATAGTTTGTTAGATGTCATTGTCGTTGATATTATTTTGATTAGTATATAGCATCTTTTCTTTTCCCTTTTTGCCATTAAACAATTGAGAATATCTTTTTAGTATTTTGGATGGATAATAAGCACTTAATAGTTGTCTTTATTAATTCTAATAAATAAATATTATGATATGTTTATCGTCATTTCTTAATATTAAAACTAGGACAAATAAAATTTCAAAATTTCAAAATTATAAATATAAAAAATCAAATGGTTATTAGAACATTGGTGATAATATAGTAAGAAATAATATTGTATTAATTTTTTCTAGGTCAAGAGTAACTTAAATGCACACTCACGAGCAAATATATAGAAGAATATGATAGCATTAAAGAACGTTAACCTTATATTCTCGATGCTAGAATTTAATGTCTTATGATAAGTGATTTTAAGATTTAATGCGTTCTAAAAAAGTGATTATGGGATTTAATATTTTCTTAAGTGATTATGGGATTTAATATTTTCTTATAATTAATTTTAGGATTTAACGTCTTTTGGTCAATGATTACAAAATTCAACGCTTTCTAAGAAATAATTCTAGAATTTAACGATTTCTTATCAGTGATTATAAGATGGAAGATATAACACATTTTGATTAGTGATTTTGGAATTTAACATCTTCTGATTAGTGATTATGGAATTTAACATCTTTTGGGAACTCATTATAGGATTTAACTTCTTTTTTTATAAGTGGTTTCAAAATTTAATGTCTTCTAATTAATGATTGTTAAATTTAATGTTTTCTAATCAATGATTCTTAAATTTAATGTTTCCTAATCACTACTATTTGTTTCTCCAATTCATTTTCAATATTCATGAACCACTTTGAGAATCCAAAAGATTCGAATTTATTTATTTAGATGATTTTAAAAATTACAAACTTCGAGTGAACAAAGAACAAATAAAATTATTTGTGCTACATATTTATTGCCATTAACTTTTGTGATGGTTATATTTAATTTTTATGATGTTTATCACATGAATTTAACGTCTTTAATTCAAAATCAATCATAACACTTTGGTTTTATTGAATTCTTTTGTGGAGATGATTAGATGAATACTTTTGTGTTTGCATTAGTCTTTATCCTAATTTTTTAATGTAAAAGAAAATAAAATAAAATTTAACACCGTATGATAAGTGATTATAGGATTCAATATCTTTTGAGAAGTGATTATGGGATTTAACATTTTTTTATCAATGATTATATGATCTAACACCTTTTGATCGACGATTTCAAAATTTAACGTCTTGTAATAAGTGATTTTAGGTTTTGACACTTTCTCAGTAGTGATTATAGGAAATAACGTTTTTTGATATGTGATTTTAGGATTTAACAA